CGAACAACAGCTTTTGTCCCACACCACCGCTGCTGTGCCTGAGCAGGTGAGCCCAGAGCAGGCACAGGGTGTGTGGAGTTAGGGCTGTGCAGCACGGGTTCCCACCAGTTCCGTAGGGCTGGAGCCAGCAGCGGCAGCCACTGGAAAGAGCCATTGCCACCTGGGCTGCCTAGAAACACAGTCCAGCTGTGGAGCTGCCCCAGGCCTGCTGTGTGCCGAAGGGGCAGCAGGATGCACTACAGCTGGACTGTATCTGGGCCAGGGGACCAAGGGACCTGCCAGGGGCTGGATCCGGCCTGTGGGCTGTATTTTGCCCCCCCCCCTTGCTCTTGTAGGTCAAATACTGAGGCAATGAAAATGTTGTGCTTCATAATTTATCATTTAAAATGATACACATTTGATTAAATCATATTTCCTCAAATTCAAGATGAGGTTTATTTCCCCATTCAGCATTGGGGGAAAGCCCCTTCTCCTGGATTTGAGTACAAGGTGGAGTGGCAGGCAGGGTGCAGAGCTGCAGCTGCTGTCACCCCTGCCACCTGCACCTCCCTCCCACTTCATCTGCCTTCCCCTTCCTGCCTCTGGTTACCTTCAGTTGCAGCAGTGGCTCTGGTCCTACTCTTGCTGGAGGCATAGAGCATGTTGGCTTCATCCCCTGCCCAGCTTGATAGTAGCAGCACTAGTCCCAGGGCTGGCATCAGGGCTGAAGTCAGAGCTGCTGCTGCCACAGCCACTGCTGCCTGGCTTGGTGTATACTGGAACTGGAGGGTGGGCAGGGGGCAGGCAAGCATGGGAAGCCAGATGGCTGCAAGCCGGGGGCAGGAGGCAGGGGACAAGGTGTAGAGGAGCAAGGGGCTGTAATAAAGCAGCTTGATTTCTCTGCTGCTACTGCTATTGCTTGCCCTGCTTCAGGGGAGTGGGGAACAAATATAAAATGACTCTCCAATAATTAGTTTCTGTGCATGGAAAATTATAACAAATTTGTGAATTCCCCATGTATAGAATTTAATTTTGGGGGGGGGGGGCTCACCTTAAATTTGAAGTCATTTTCTATTCAGGTAAATTTAATAATACTTGTGTTCCATGATTAGGCTTCCTGGGCTGCTTATTTTGGCCAGGACCCTGGTAGATTGTAGTTTTAGAAGTACCTAATATATTCACTTTTTTGCCAGTTAGTATGGACTTGAAAAGTGTTCCCTGTGATATAACTCTATGCACCAGCCAAGTTCAGCTATCATATATCTATCTTGTATGAAAGGTTGGGCCCATACACATACAAGTGTTAGAGCCAGTATGTAAAACAGCATGTTTAAAAAGTAAAATCCCAAGAAATCCAACCACACTTATAATATAAAATCATGAAAAAATTGCTGGGATAAGACTATACTCCCTGGCCCAGGAGTTTAAGGGGATGCTAGTCTTCGCTCACCTAAACACTTTTGTTGTGTGCTTTTTTATCTTTTAATCAGACTTGGAAAAAAACATTTTCATAATTGGTGTGTGCCACCAACTTTTGCAGAGTCTAAGTTTTGTTGTGATTGTAGCTTTAGAGATGCAGATAGTAGAATGGAGTGTATACCAAAATAGTGTGGTACCCCAATGTCTGCAGGGAGCTGCTCTGTTTCTGCTATTGTTCGCAGTTCTGCCCAATCTGTATGAAAGTGATAATAAACGACTGCCTTTTCTGTGCTCATTGCTACCCTCAGGGTTTTGAGGAACAGCAATGAAAATAATATTTACCTGAATTTAAGATCATCTCCCAATACTTTTATTCTGTACACAGAAAAATTATAAATTTGTTGCAGTTTTCCATATGTAGACTCTAATGATTGGAGGATCATCTTAAATATGTTCCCCCCACCACTGCAGTGGGACAAGCAGCAATTGGGAAGCAGGTAGTGTGGGAATCAAGTGGCTTGACCACCACACCTTGCCCCTTGCCACCTGGTCCTCCCTTCCCCCACTTCCTCCACCTGCCAAACCATTTACTTTCAGTTGAGGCTCTGGCCCAGGGCATGGAGCACAAGCTGGCTTTGGTCCCCACCGGGCCCAGCAGCAAGAGTTGCACCAGGGACCAGACCCAGCATGTGCTCTGTGCTCCAGGCCAGAGTTGTGAAAAAAGGGTAAGTGGTAGTAGTGGGATAGAGGAGAAAGGCAGGGGGCAGAAGTGATGGTGGGGGGCAGCATCTGTGGCTTCTACTCCAGTCCTGAGCCTGGTTCAGAGCCAGAGCTGGAGCTGCAGCAACTACCTGCCCCTGCCTTGTACTCGCATCTAAGATGAGGGACATCTCATCTAAAGAGAACAATTAATATGAAACTTTACCATAGGTGCAAAGAAGTTAAAGAGTCTTCTCCTTGTCCTTTTGCTCCTCCTCCCAATCTGTGACAAATATTTGTTATAATTTTTTTAAATTTTAGTTTGTCCTTTCCCTGAAATACAGACAATGTCCTTACTTGAGTTGTTGACACAGAGTACTTGAGGGTGCTTTAAATTATCAAACCTGAAGATAGATTTCAGTCGGCCTCCAAGCATGTATTACAGAATTCAGCCCGGTTCCTAGTGGAAAGACATCCATGTCTCAAAAACTGCTGATATACTACATAGTTTTCTTGGCCATCTTTTTTTAGTAGTTTGTGTTCCCCACTTTCTAATTGTGTATGCTCCAGTTTAGACTATGATTGTGCATTATGAAAGAAGCTTGTATTACCACATCGGCAGGATTGTCTTCTTTTTGAACAGTGGATTTCAATCTCCCTGTCCTAGGAAGGGGGAGAGGAGAAAAGGAATAGATATAACATATATAACTGGGTTGATTCATTAAGAGAGTTTTTTTTTAATTTTAGCATTGGTACTTTTATAATTATTTAAAAGAAATCTCAAATATATGTCAAGTTTACAGAAAAAGTCCACATACAGACATTCATTTTCTTTTGGGAGAGTCAGTGCTCTACTTTCCCTGTACAAAGAAACTTCAGATATTAGGAAAATCATATTCCTGTGTGGACCTTTTCCAGAAAATTTTCAGCCAAGTTAGAAGGCTCTCATAGGGGTATTGTTGACCTATTCTTAGCTAAAGAAGTCTCAACATAAGTGATTCTCTTCAGGGTTCTTTTTTGGCTTTGTTTGATGAATATATCTTCAGTCCCTCTTCTGTGTAGGCGTCTCTGAATTAACAATTGTGAACTGTATGTAGTTTTGCCAGTGATCAGTGATTTCCACTAGTATTTAGCCTACCCCTTACAATAACTCAGATGTGTGTATCTGGTTACATAGAAAATCTGTATGTTAAACATAACAGTATCAAAACTGCGGTTCCCATACCTGTGTTCTGACTGCATTGTCTGAATAGCTGGACGTCAAACTGTTCTTGGAGTGCAAAAAGCTTGTTGAATCACAGTGCTAGTTCTGTGACTTATTTATAAATTGTTTTAATGTGTCTGTTACCTTAAAGCAACATTAAGTTAATTATGCCCCTTCTAGATTAATATTTAAGATATTTGAATATCAGTAAGAAAAAGGGTAAGTATCAATATAATTAGGGGTGCTCTGATAAAGACTTTTTTGGTGGATGCCAATGCCACCAGCCATGTTAGCCAATACCGATCTGACTACCAATATGCAGCCCAGCAATGTGGAGAGCAGCAACCACCCAGTAAGTCTGTTGGGAGGAAGGGGTGTGGTGGAGGGAAGGGGCATGGGGGGGTTCAGATTGAGACCCCAGTGGTGAGGAAGGGAATGGAGCCAGGGCAAGGGTAGGGGCAGGCGCTGCCCGTCCAGGGTGTGGTGCAGAGTGGAGCCGCAGGTGGGAGGATGTGGGAGGATGTGGCAGCTCCCATTGCTCTGCACACTCTCAGGAAAGGCATGGAGGGCATCTGCCCCCTGGATTTGTGTACAGGGTGAGGGCGGGGTGCTCACTGGGGGTGGTGCCGGCCTCCCCCTGGTGGTGGGGCTGGGCTACAGATGCAGTGGGGGGGGGGGTTTTGGGGTGGGCTACAGTCACCCCAAAATTTGCTGTAGCCCTTCCTCCCAGTGCTGCTGTTGCCCATCCCTGCCCACCCTGAGCGCAGCCCTGGCTTAGCCCCCACTGGGAAGAGGCCGGTGCAACCCCTGGCCCCAGCCCATAGTGGGCAGCCCACCTTCACCCCAGGGACAAATCTGGATGGCATGTGCCCCTCATGCCTCCCCTGGGGGTGTGCTCGGTGGCGGGAGATGCCCCCCAAACAAGCCACCCATGACCCTGCCCCAGCTGGGTAGCCCTTTTGCACCAGCCCCACTCCCTCCCTCACCATGGGGGCCTTGATTTGCGCCCCCCCATGCTCCTTCCCCCCACAGACTTACCAGCTAGACACTGCTCCCCAAGCTGCCAGGTTGCATTCCTGGCTACCTTCATGCTGTGTCTGTATGCATGCATACAGCATATATTGGTGACAATATCAGCTGCATCAGCCAAAAAAGCCGATTGCCGATGATGTCAATTTTCCTTTTATTGGTGCCAATACAATATGAACTGGTATATTGGTGCACCTCTAAATATAACAGAAGCCATATTTTTCATAGAGTCAGTTTCCTTAGCACCCTGCAAAAATGAGGGTTGGTGGTATAACTACCCACAGCAAACCACTGTATGGACACCACTGGTACTTCTTCAGCATCTAGGTGGGACTGCTGATGAGCTCCAGCTGAGTGGAGAAGGGTACCCATTGAAGTTAGTTGCAGTGGCTAGCCCTTATTCAGGAACTCATTGCAAATTAAACAAATTGGAAACCATCTCCATACAGAAAATCTGCTACCTTATTCACATTAAATAGCACCATGTTTCATGAATAGTTTACTTGTTCACATATCGGTCCATATTGTATTGGCACCGATAAAGGGAAAATTGACGTAGTCCACATATTTTGATCTGCATAGTGGTTTGCAGTAGACTTTATGATTTGGGGAGTAATGTTGAGGTTGATCTCACTAAGTAAATATCTGCCTTTTTACAGGTGTCCTTCAGATGATGCAGACTAGAATTGGTGCTCTACAAAGTACTGTTGATAGGTATGTCATTTCATAATTTATTACAGTATAAACTCTGAAGTCTTCTAGTACACTCTATTTCTAAAATGTATTTCCATTCCTGTTATCAGAATCAGAGCCAAAATTGTTGATCCATACAACAAAATAGTATCTCGTACAGCTCAGCTAGCAAAACTTCAGGTAAGTTCTGTTATGGTTTTATTTATTTATTTATATATGTATTTATTCATTAATTTTTAATATTTTTCAAAAAACTTACTTTATTTCCAAATTTCTTAGAAGAATAAAGAAAAGGTATATCAATTCAGATATGCAGAAAAATCATTTTGGTAGAGATTTGCCTATTTCAAGGAACTATATATTTCTTTACCAGTGTTTCTCAATTAAATTAGATTTTAGTAATATATTTACATAAATATTCTGGGCTAAAAGGTCAGTGCTTCACACTGAAAACTAGGAAATCAAAGTTGGTAGTAATTAATTTAGTTTAATGGGGAGAAAGAGTGAACTCTTAAAGAGTTTACTGTCCAACAAACAAAGCTAAATATGTTCGTTTAGAAATAATTTTTCCATCATTGGACCAATAATCCCTCCATATTGTTCTAAACCTCATCTTACTCACCTAGTTGATTTAATAAAATATCCTTCAACCTTATCTTTGTTACAAGCCAGAGTCCTGGTTTTCATTGTTTAAAAATCCCAAAGTCTCTGATTTAAAGGAAATCTCCACACACATTTTCTGATTTAAAAAACCCCAAAATCTGCACTTTTCCATGATGAAAATGAAACACTGCTATATATAGGTATCAGTTGAATACAATGTTTTATTGATATATTGACAATTTTTGAGCAGTTTGGAAGCCTACCAGCGCCTCAATCATTATAACAAAAATAATAAATTCTAAATACCTATACATGTGGGTGTTTGATTTTTGTTTATTTTATTGTGGAAAATCAGAGCTCCCCCTGCCCTCTTTGCTCACCAGTACTTGAGTCCATCTGTGGCTGTCCTGCCTGCTGCTTTGTGGCTCAAAGCAGCCCTCATAAGCTAGTGCCCTGCCCCTGCTCATGCCGGTGCCCCTCACTTCCAGCCCTCAGCCCCCTGGCTCTGCCGGTGCCCCACACTCCCAACCTGCAAACCCTGGCCCTGATGGTGCCCCTTACTCCCAACCCACATCCCCCCCCTTGCCCCTAGCCCTGCTGGTGTAACTCACTCATGACCCACAGCCCCCTGTCCTCTGCAGCCCTGACAGGGGCCCCCATTTGCCAGGTCTGTGGAACTAGGGCTAGGGCCCACAGCTCCCTGGCCGAGCAGAGCTGAGTGGAGCCCATGGTGGGGAGGGGTGGATATGGGTTCCCTGCCTTGCTGCACTCCCCCAGGGGCCTTGGCACCCCAGTGGGTGGGACCTGGAGTAGGAGGGCAGGGAAGCTTGGTGCTGCTGCCCCTGAAACCCCTGCACCAGTTGCCCTGCCATAGTGACCCTTTCCACCTGGCAGCAGTTGGGGGCACAACTCCATGCTACCATGATTGCTGTTGGATGGACAGGGGGTGCCTCGCTGCAGCTGGTGTGGGGTCCCCAGTGGTGGCAGCACTGAACCTTTACAACTACATGCTCCAGGTCCTGCCTGCTGGGCTGCAGAGGCCCCTGGGGGAGGGCAGCAGGGCAGGGAGCCCTGAGCCCCGCAGCAGACAGCCTGTATCCTTTCACTCTGTACACAAATCTAGGGGGGTGCTGTGTCCCCCTATACCCTGTCCCTGGGATTGCATGCAGTGACAGGGAGCCAGCTGTCCCATGGATGAGCCGGTTGGTCCCCGGGCTCCACGCACTGCCCCAGCTAGGCAGCGTCACCAACCCTGCCCCACTCCATCCCTCGCTGTGGGAGTTTGTCTCGCTCTCCCATGCCCCTCTCCCCCCAGACTGACCTGCAGGCAGCTGGGGAACTGCTCTCCAAGCTGCCATGTGCATGTGGCGCTTCCTGTGTCCTGTTCCCCCAGCTCCAAGCAGCCCCTTGCAGCCTGGAACTCTGCCATCCTGCAAGGGGAATCCTACATATTCCTGTGTTTTTCTGCTTCAAAGGGGGAAATCCATGATTTTCTCCTTTTAAAAATCTGAATCTTTTTCTCCTTCAAGTGAGAAAATTCGTGGTTTTCCACGGCAAACGGAAAACCCGGATCCCTGGTTATAAGGAGTAATTTAGAAAATGTACACCTTCTCGTCATCTTGCTGTTGCTATCACTCCCTAATTCCAAAGACTAATGGTAGAAGAATTGCAAGCATTGAGAGGAAAGTGGTTATTCATTATGGGGAGATGCTAGAGGGCATGCGCAGTAAAACATGCATAGAGGATGACATAAAAGTCATTTTAGCATGCTGTGTGAGAGCATATGATTCTTAAGAATTTGAGATAAGGATGGGTAGGGGTACAGGAATAAATGGTGTTCAGGATCTTTTAACCCTACACGTTTGGGATTAATTTCAATGTTTTGGCTTATTTTGCTCAAGTTATTTTCCCTCTTGAATTAATGCTTATTCTTAACTAAAGATTTTGTTTTGGGAATAATTTCTTTAACAGAGAAATTGCAGCTCGTTATAGCTATGCTTATCTTGGAGTTTTACAAAAGAGACTAAGCAGCTTCCCTTATTTTTAACACATGAGCTAAGACTTCAGAGAAAACAGTTCGCAGAGATAGAGGAGTGTAGGAAAAGTGTTTTTACTAGGTCAGTTAAATAATTGTTAAAAACCTCAATAATAGGTTTTATATTTTGTTTCCATCATTATTCAACAGCTTTTCAGTAGTGGTATTGCCACATGCTAGTACCACTTACGATTTGAAAACAAAAATCCAAACCTACAAGGTTAAACTATTTAACTGTGTTTCTGTTCACATGTATTTGCAATATTGCAGTAGCTTCAGGAATGTACATTTATAGCTGGGAGTTTGCTAGGATTTTGAATGCTGCTTTTCTCTTTGCTTTTTCTTCCTGCCCATTGGTAGCTTTTTCATCTTCCTGAATTTTTAATGGACTGCATTTACTGATTTTCATAAATATCTGATCTCTCCTTATGCAAGCAACACCACAGTTTGGGTTTCAGTCTTTTCGGAAATACAGCAGAATTACTTTAAGAAATGTGCAGTGTTGAGGATCTGTTTCTGTGCTCCTTTAGGCAGAAGTAGTTCTTCATAAGCAGTACTGTTGATTGCTGTGGGACTACTCAGAGTGAAGGTCTATTTGGGCTGAATTCTGCCTTCTTTAAGTATTTTAATATATTCTGCTCTCCTCATCAACATTCCCGTCGTAGCTTTGTTGTCAGACTTTAAATCCAGTCTTCTGTTCTAACCTCTCAGCTTTTGCTTCTATACTATTTGTCTTGATCTGCTCCTACAAACCCAGGGGAAAAGGGAGCAGCAGAATCTCAAAGTATGGTTCCTCTTTTAAAATGCACATTCTTCTTCTGAAAATGATGTTAGTCTTGACTTTGTGGATCATAAGTTAGTTAAAATATGCAGATGAAGGACACGTAGTTTAGAAAGGTCACTTTGTGGTTTTATCTAACTAAACATTTCCACAGCTCTTTTGAGGAAGCGCACATACATAAATCACATAGAATTTTAATTTTGTACTTTTATTTAAAAAAGGCAAAGATTAGAATGGTTACTGTATTTGTACCCAATTATTAGTAATGCAAAAATATTCTCCAATAGCAGATTTAGCTTGTACCATAAAACATAAGTATGTGTTAAAAAACAGTATCACTCTAAAGATAGTGAGTTGATCAGTACACTAAAATATATCAAAACACTGAAGAAAAGCCACATGGCTGAATCGCTTATAAGGGTACATTTTTTTGCACTGGAACAGATACAGGCAAATCATGCTTAATGAGAGGTCTTTATAGCAATAAAAATAATCCAAAAGTATTTTAGTAAATAAGAAGCATTTTGGTGGTTGTGTGTGTGTAAGTGCAACATGTAATCCTCCATCATAGTGTATTGATGTGAGAGCAGTTTGAAGACAAAACTGCTCAGTTTTTGTTTTGTCTTGCATTTGTTTTTCTCTAATTTGAACTAGTCAGTTCAAATACCAAGAGACCTCAACTATCATACATACATTATCACAGGACATTATATCGGATGCTCTTTGTTTATGAAGGACTTCTTCTATCTTTAAATTTCATCAGATAAATATATTGTAATCCATGGCAAAATCAAGCATAACAGTTCATCTTATTTTTATTCAAACCATTATACTAATATAGGGTGGAGGACTTATCTAAATTAATTCCTTTTATAACAAGAGCTGATCTTTCGGGGGGGGGGGGGAACATGCAATTTTAAAATCAGGAGTACATGTTTTTCTAAGATATGATGCTCAGAACAGGAGTTAATTCAGAGAAGATCTCTGGCATGTTTTAAACAGGAGGTCAAGACTGGATGATTGAGGTAGTCCCTCTGGCGGTATGATCTATTAATCAACAAACTACAGAGTTATTTAATAAGATTGTTTTCTTTACACAGATCTATAAATATGCAGTTTAAGGAAACTCAGATAAATCACTGTAAAGGAAAATATATTTTTAAATAAGTCATCCTGTCTGTCCTTTGCCAAAATATAGATATGGAATAAATTAATATGATATTGTGTTAAAGTATTTAGTATGTTTCATTTTTGTATGTATGTCACTCAAGAATTCTCCTTGAACTTGAAATTTGGCTAAAAAATGAGTGTGAATATCTTACCAGAATTGGATAAAAACTTGGTTGTAATTAGAAGTGCATGGATATAAAGAAAATTGACTATGTCAGAAATTCGCCTGATGTGGCTGATTAAATGTTTGTGCGTGCGTGCAGCTGCAGTGCCTGACAGCAGTGCTGCAGCCTGCCCGGCCTGCCTAGTGCAGATCTGGGGGCACATGCCCCCCCCCCCGTGCCCTTCTATTCAAGCAGCAGGAGCAGTAGCAGGAGCCACCCTGCACCATGCCCGCATGGTGAGCCCCGGCTCCATCCTGCCCCAGCCCCACTCCCTCCCTCACTGTGGGGACATTGATTGGCCCCCACACACCCCTTCCCTCCCTACTCCCCTTTCACCACAACAGACTTACCAGCTGCACGGAGCTGTATTGGAAATTGGATCAGTATTGGCTAATATGCCTCCTTAAAAATCGGCTGTCGGTATTGG